ATATTCGAGGTACTTAGCGGAGTGGCATGTAGTCATTGGAACATCACATAGATTCTAGGTGTTAGTAGAGTGGCATATAGTCATTGGAACATCACATATATTCTAGGTGTTAGTAGAGTGGCATACAGTCATTGGAACATCACATATATTCGAGGTACTTAGCGGAGTGGCATGTAGTTATTGGTACAATAATTGTACATGGAAACCCCTGGAACACTTTTGCATGCACCCCCGATGTTTAAGTGCATTGTAAACTGTAATTATGTACATACTTGACTTCAACACATGCTGGGCTAGCTGACGAGTCACAGGCTGAGCAGGTTTCTGAATAATTTCACGTGAACAACCAATATCATCTCATTTCCAAAGTATATTTCAAATTGGCCTCGTGTATATTGAGATTACTTGGGTTATTACAAGGAAGATCTTATGGAAACTGTCAGGTATTCATTGCGTAAAAAGGACACTACAGTCTTAGCTTTGATTGCCGGTTGTAATGATATCAATTTGTTTACTCCTAAAACTCAAATGTCGGTCATACAAGTATGGAATCTGAGATCATATTTAAAGCGCGGTGGTCGTCGCGCAGTGCGTGTTCGAATTTCATGTAAATAAACAATGTATTTTATGCGCGTTGTGTACGTCGCTATGAGTCCCATATCGATCAAGTCGCGGTGCGACGACCACCGCCCTTTAATGAATTGTGGAATCGGTAAAAACGAAAATCAGACCAAAAAATGAAGCAAACACGCCCATCTTCCATTAATGGCGCTTGAGTATATGTAGCAAGAATAATCTGTGTCAAGCCGTTTATTCCAGTGTATGTGTGCTGCCCTCTGCGGTATTTTTTTGGAGTGAAGCTGTGGGACTCCATGGCAGTAGCGGTCGTGTAGCGGCAAAGGACTAGAACCGAATATTTCTGTTTGTATATGTCTATGTGCCAAAATCTTTTTCTCATCTTGTTGTGGTGCATTGGTTTGATTAAAATCAGACTGCCAATTAACACACTACAATTAGCTAATTTGCATATTACGTGTACTTCACTATTTTATTTTCTATCTTTACTTCATAGTGTGTTGCCTAAATGAATTGAAACGATCTGCATGTTTACCGGACATCCATACATATAGTATGAAATTATTCTATGTTAGACATATCATACGAGTAGTATTATGTCGCGAGTAGTAATTAATGTACTTCCTTCGCATGAGATCATTCTCAAGAATAAAGCCTTTTGTGTCAATCTAATTGTTTTATTAATTGGTGGCAGAGTTAAAAATAAAATAACCAGTGCATGGTTGTTTGATTGAATGTCTGCTGATTACCGAGTATACACTCGTAGTTGCTATGCATATAATTGGTTTGGTGCAAATATTCCATGTGTTCATTAAGTCATGTTTTGGCTGGGTGACCATTTCTATAGTAGAAGTACTTGGAAAAACTATTTATTTATTTATTTATTTATTATTTGTTTGTTTGTCTGTTTGTTAACCTTTTTATCTATCATTAAACAATAAAATTAATTTGCAAAAGCAGTGAATATTAAACATAGAATACGAAGTAATATTCCTTTGTAGAAAAGGGCAATTACTAGTAGACTAGAACCCTATAAATCACCTTGTTGTGCCGGTGTAGGACACTAGCTGTGTTCACGTGGAACACCAGTTGTGTTCGTGTACAACACTGTGCTCACGTGAAACACCAGTTGTGTTCGTGTACAACACTGTGCTCACGTGAAACACCGGTTGTGTTCGTTTACAACACTGTGCTCACGTGAAACACCGGTTGTGTTCGTGTACAACACTGTGCTCACGTGAAACACCGGTTGTGTTCCTGTACAACACTGTGCTCACGTGAAACACCGGTTGTGTTCGTGTACAACACTGTGCTCACGTGAAACACCGGTTGTGTTCGTGTACAACACTGTGCTCACGTGAAACACCGGTTGTGTTCGTGTACAACACTGTGCTCACGTGAAACACCGGTTGTGTTCGTGTACAACACTGTGCTCACGTGGAACACCGGTTGTGTTCGTGTACAACACTGTGCTCACATGGGACAGCAGTTGTGTTCGTGTACAACACTGTGTTCACGTGGAACACCGGTTGTGTTCGTGTACAACACTGTGCT